TTCAGACACTCAGTCAATATCTATTTTTTGTTAAGGCAAATCAAATTACATTTTTATACATTTTCACGTTAAACAATTAATCATCGATTAATTATACATTGTTTATATATATATATATATATATATATATATATATATATATATATATATATATACATGTACATACAATTGTGTGTTGCATGATCATTTCTCTATATATAATAAGCATTCGTTGAAAACACATGTGTATTTTAAAATGTATATATATATATATATATATATATATATATATATATATGCCATATGATAAAATATATATATGCATATATATATATATATATATATATATATATGCCATATGATAAAATATATATATGCATATATATATATATATATATATATATATATATATATGAAGTCAGTAGATATGTTTGTACATATATAAATGTTTCTTCAGTACATCTTATTCATTCGAATAGAACATTCGGTAATGTTTTGTTGTTGTTGTTGATCATATTTCTTGCTAATTTCCGCATACATATTTATTAACTAAATAAATAAATAGAAAGAGAGAAAGAGAGAGAGAAGAAAATAAATAATTATATTAATATATATCTTATAGTGGAGAATTATTTTCTTTGTTTTTATTCATGTTTAGTAGAGAGCGACCAGTGTTTAGCAACATAGTGTTTGGATATCCTGGCAATTTGTAATGTTAGTGTTACAAAATCAAAGTACGCTTGCTTGCATGTGAATATGTATGTATGTTAGTTTGTTAGCATATTTGTTTGTTTGTTAATCTGTATGTTTGTATGTTTGTTGGTTTGTTTATTTGTTTGAATGTTTGTATGTATGTATGTGTGTGTATACGTACGTATGTGTGTGCGTGCGTATGTATGTTTCTTTGTATATATAATTTTGTATTTGATTTGCAACGTTTCTTTGTTTGTTCACTTTTTTCATTTAATTTTTCAATAATATTCTGTCTCTATGATTATGGTGCAGTGGAGTTTAATTGAGATGAAAGTTCATATTTAAACTTTATATTTAATACTTCTTATTTAAATACTATCATCACTAAAATCATCATCGTCATCATCACTAACATCATCATCATCACTAACGTCATCATCATCATCACCATTGCATTGACATTTCCTACCAGCTAGGACACATAGGTTTGCACTCTTCATAATATAATCTCTATTCATTTCATTGTTTAATAAAATTCTTTTTTTCTCTCCCTTTTCTCTCTCTTTCTATATATATTTTATCTCTCTTTTTCTATCTTTCTTTCTTTCCCTACATCTCTCTTTCTTTCTTTCGTTTTACCTCTTTTTATCTCAGTTTCCTCTTTCACTCACTCTTCCTACTTTTGTGTTTTTCCCTCTACTTCTCTCTTTCTCTCTCTCTCTCTCTCTCTCTCTCCTACTCTAGCTTTTTCATTCAAAATAATTGTTTATTTTATAGTTTCTATTGGACGCTAAATTTAAAGACCCACAGAGTTTGTTGTTGCCGCCTATAAATATACATGAACACTTATGTTAATTATGTTGGCTATAGTGGTATGATAGTTATAATGATTACTTTGGATATGATAATTACGGTGGCTACGCGATGAATATGATAATTATAATATTGGTAGTGTTTAGTGGTCTTAGATAATAGTAGCAATTGGATTCGATGTTTTTTTTACCTTTTTTCTGCCATATATATATATATATATATATATATATATATATATATATATATATATATATATATATATATGGCATATATAGTAGTGTTATGTTGTTGTTTGTGTTGTTGTTTGTGTTGTTGTTTGTGTTGTTGTTCGTGTTATTGTTTGTTCGTACTAAACCATGGGACCTCATTGAGTTGTTGTGAGTTGTATCTACTAATATGAGAAGCTATACAACGAAACCGAACTACTGCTTGTTGGTTGTTTAGTTGGTTTGACTCATTGTCATTGTTTAAATATACAGTGCAGTCTCTATTATGCTGTTTTTGTTGTTGTTGTTGTTGTGTGTGTGTTTGTTATTATTATTATTGTAAAGCTATGTGACGTTGCTGTTGTTGTTGCTATTATTTTTTGTTTGTTATTGTTGCGGTTCGGTGTTGTGTTATAGAAATTATTTTTTAATTTTTTGTTGGCTCGGAACGAAATTTAATTGCGCCCTGTGATGATGACGACGACGATGAAGATGGTGGAGATGACGATGAGAATAATGAAGAAGAAGATGATGATGAAACTGATGATGAAACTGATGATGATGATGATAATGAAACCCATGTTGATGATGATGATGAAACTGAGGATGATGATGAAACCGATGATGATGGCGAATGAAAGTTCCAAGGATAACACGAGATATCATCATGATAGGATATTACCGTGCTATCCGTCGGGAGCTTAATTAAAAAAAAATGAAAGTAAACATAAATTAATAAGTGAAAAGGTGAATGAATGAATGAATGAATGAATGAATGAATGAATGAATGAATGAATGAATGAATGGGCATAAGTTGCTAATCTGATTTACAAACAAAATCTTCACACAGGACTCAAGTGCCTGCCGACTTTTCTTATCTGATTTATATTTGAAACGTTTTGTAAAAATTTTTTTAAATTTTTGCGTTGGAATAATTTCTAAAATACTGAAATATTCGGAATAACTTCAAATAATAATTTGTTTTTTACATTTACAGATTCAATAAATATAAATAAAGAAGAACTAATCTGAAATACATTAAAAAACAAGTGCTAAAGTAACTCAAGTGCAGTATTTAAAAACCAACAACAACAACCGTTACTTCAAATCAACTATTAGAAGTACCACCAAACAGAAATGTCGGTGAGACTAAAGAACCAGGCCAGTTTTCTCCGCATCGTCCCAGAGAAAGAAAGGGCCTTGTTGGAGCAGTTTCGGAACAACATCCTCACCTCGATCATTGAATCAGAAAATTGCCAAACAGACTCCGATAACAAACCGCAAAGAAGCGGCTGCTGCAGATGCTCGCGTAAGAGAAACCAGCAGAATAGCTCCAAGAAAACATGCTCTTCTTGTCTGGAAAACCCTTGTTGCAAAAAATTTCAGGATTTCATCTCTAGTATCTACAACATTGTCCAATCCAATGTTGGACTTTTGTTATTTTTAATCATATATGCATGCCTGGGCGCTCTTCTGTTCTCATACTTGGAATCAACTGAAGATGCCAACAAGAGGAATGAACTTTCACTGGCCAGACGATGGTTTCTCACTAACATGGAAAATATTTTTCACGGTAAAAAGAATCAACTATCTTCAGATGCAAATAAAATGGAGACGAGTCTAGAACAGGCGCTATCGGCGGATTATAACGATACTCGAATCCGATTGTCGACTGGCGATAACGAAACGACATGGCTGGTCAGACAGACTGACGATGTGAAAGCTGCATCTACCTTGCTGAAGCAGTACGAAGATTACGTCGGGAAGTTGCCGGCGCAGATTACGAAGTACAGTACAAGTTCTGTCATGAAGGAATGGTCCTTTTTTGAGTCGCTGTTCTTCTGTGGCACTGTCGTCACTACAATTGGTTAGTTGTAGTGGATGTCGCTGGTTTGTTGGCTGGATGTTCTTCTTGGTTATGGCTGTGTGTGCATGTGTGTCGTTTGAGTTGTGGATTTTATATTGTATCCATAGTTGTCACTATTTTCTAAGGCACTAAACTTACTAACTCATCCATTGAGAGACCCTTTCAAAACCCTTTCAAAACTTTAATGTCGTTTAAGAAACGCCATATCTTTTCACCCTGAGTTCTCCGAAAATCCAGATTTAGCACGGATCACACAAATCTTTCTTTATATCATTTTCTATTTTTGATCCATGTATGTCTTATCCAGTCCGGACTCTTTCCTTTTGTTCTCACACACAGTTCATACTGTTTTAAAATAAACATATATAATATTGTGTATGTATGCCTGTGTGTTTATGTGTGAGAGTGTGTGTGTAAGCGTGTTTGCGTGCTTTTGTGTGTGTGTGTATATATATATATATATATAATTTGTAATTTGTATATTTTTACAATAAATCTTTTCGGTTTTTTACATTCATTATTCTGAACCTGTCTACCTACCTATCTACCTTATAGCACGCAGATTGTTGGATTAATAAGAAATCATCTCAACAGAGTGAACCACATCTGCTTTTATACAAATAATAACTACATCGACTTGTTTGCCTTTATATTATTAGATAGTGTGTATATGTGTGTGAGTTTTTTGTATATAACTTTATGTGTTTTGCATAAAGGTGTGTACTCTGCATGCCACTGTATGTTTTTCATAAAATTGTGCAAGTTTTGTATAAATTATAGTGGTATTTCTTGCTTTTAATTGTATTAGTTAGTATAAAAAATTATTTTGTATTTTTATTGACGATACACACACAAACACACAAACTCATTCATACATATACACATATATAATAATTAAATAAACATTTATATAGTATCCATGAACGATCATTCTTACAAATGAATGTAATATAATCTTAACAAAACAAACAAACATGCCTTGGTCTTAGGAAAACGTCTGAACGTTAATAAACTATTTTGTTTGTTCTTCTACTACCAAGCATGGGAATGAATGAGGGTCGCTGGCTTGCCGCATATGATGTGGGGACGACAAGATCACCATTATGGTGACTTTGTCGTCACCAAGATTGTGGTGACAAACATATGATGGTGACGATGGTGGCGTAACAAGAGTAATGATGATTACGTTGATGATGACGAAACTAATAGTAGTGATGGTGAAGACGATGATGGCGAGGATGAAAACGATGATAGGAAGGATGAAAACGATTATGGGGAGTTTGAAAATGGTGAAGATGAGAATTATGAAAATGATGATGACGACGACGACGATGATGAATGTCAAAGATAATAATCCCCAAACTTCCCATTCATAATGTATATTTATCTCGTTTTGGCGAATTCAAAATTGTAAAGTAGTAGATGAAACACAATCACGAGCAATAACAGCCGACAAAATTTTTATAAAAAATGTCATTAAATTTAAAAAAAATAAAAATTAATTATGAAAATCAATAAATTAATAAATTTATTAGAACAAAGAAGAAAAAGTAATTTAATAGCGCGCCAACAACAAGATGTTATCGATTGTTATTAACAATAAAAATGACTATAGATTTATGTAGAATGTTTGTTGTATACTCATATGCCATGCACGTATAAATACCAAAAAATATATATCCTATATACTAGTGTGTGTGTGTGTGCGTACGTGTGTGTGTGTGTGTGTGTGTGTGTGTGTGTGTGTGTGTGTGTGTGTGTGTGTGTACGTCTTTGTGTGTGTTTTCATGGTAAATGATGAAAAAAAAATCGATCGATGTTTAATGTGTTGTAGGATAATAATTGGAGCACCATTGTTCATTATTTAATAGGCATGACGAATTTATATAGATATATGTTTGCGCATGTGAATTTATAGCATGTGTGTTGGTGCATGTGAACGAAAAATGGTAGTTTACGTCGGGTTGGCAACATTTCATCATCCATCTTATCTTTCTATCTTATCATTTCATCATCGTTCTTTATATTATTACTCTCTCATCATTTTCTCAATATTCTATCACGCGAGGTATACAAAACTTAGCAGACATACAAAACAACATAGAACCCTATTGAAAAAACAAAACCATACAAAACATTCGAATAACGCACAAACCACCAGCAAATAAACACCTAAACATACCAACTACATACAAATAATTACAAAACATACAAAACAAATCATACAAACCACATAAAAAAAACCAAACAGACCGCATACATAAACACACAAAACAAACAAACAGCATTCCAAAACATACAAAACAGGTTGACAACTTGTTGAAAATAAACAACAAACATGAGCATATGAACGAAACATACGAAACGTTAAAAAATTTCATATTGATCGCCTGACTCCAAGCGACGCTCTAAGCCTCCAAGAAAGGTATGGCACGAGGTAAAGAAAAATTTAATAACAATAAATAAATAAATAAATACAATTATCATAATAATAATAAAAACAATAATATTGCAAGTATAAGCGGCAGAAATCCCAAACAGCAAAGAGCATCGTTGTAACAGGACCCATGCTAGTTAAGATAATATTAATAATACTTGCAATAAACAATAACAACAACAATAATAATAATAACAAGCAATAATAATAATAATAATAATAATAGGGTAAAGAGCAAAAAACCCATATTTCTTTGTTTAATTTCCATTCTTCATCACCATCTTCACCATCGTCATCATCATAATTTAATCTTGATTTTGGTATAATAATAATAAAATATACTATTATTATCATAATAATCTTAGCAATAATTATTATTATCATCCTCATCGTCGTCATCATCTCATCATTCGTATCACCACCACCATCATCATCATTCGTATCATCATCATCATCATCATCATCAATTCTATCTTTTTCTTTATCTTCAAAATTTCTAACATTTCTGTCTGCATATTCATTCACTACTGCACCATCGTTATCAGCATCAGCATCGTCATCATCGCTAGCAGTAGCAGCCCTCTTCGTCGTCATCATCATCGTCGTCGTCATCATCGTCGTCATGTCCATGAAATTATTATTACAATTATTACCATCATAATAGTTGTTATTATTACAATTATTATAGTTTGAATTATTATTTTAATTATTTTATTATTTTAATTATTATTATTGTTATTATCGTTATTCTGTTGATCACATCGTTCTTTTATGGAGTCAGATGTTTTAATGGTGATGATGGGGCTCTGAGGTTTTCTTTATTACATCCCTTTGTTACTGATTTTTATTTTCGCTCTCAACATCATCTTCATCCTCATCTTCATTATTATTATTATTATTGTTATTATTAACTTCCTCCTCCTTATTATTATAATAATTATTGTTGTTGTTATTATTACTACAACTGACGCGAATACTACCATTGCTGCTGCTGCTGCTACTTCAACTACTACTTCTACTACTACATACTCGCAAACATACATACGTACACACAATGAAACCTTAAATATAAATTATGATTTGCCAGAAAAAAAATTTTTAAGACAAATAGCCTAAGAATTGGTATAAATTACACCTCCGTATGTGTCTAAATATTCTTACTATAACTATTTCTGTAGTGAAAAGAATTGTGTATTGTTACGAAAATTGTTGTTTAAGTATTACACAGTAGTAGGATGGGATTCTAGTACTTCGATATGCAAGTACATATGTTCTGCTTTGCTTGGTTACATGTCAGTTGGCTCAGCGGAGCAGAAGAGTCTCAGTACTTTAACATTTAATTCCTTCTTCCCTATTCATGCGCACATTCATTCATTCATTCTTTGCTTGCTGTGTGTGTGTGTGTGTAGTTTGTATACATGTGCTATATATCTGTCTAAATCTTTACGAATTTTCTATCTATATATCATGTTGTTTTAGTGTTTTTTGTTTTAATGTTTGTTTGTTTGTTTATAAATGTTAATTAAATGATTTATGGTAGCATACGTTGAACCATAGATCACAACACAAACATTCTTTTATTATTTATCTTTGGTGTTTTTTTTATTTTCTTGAAATCGTTTCATCATCTTATTAGTTGTTTGCAGTAACCTATCTACCTACCTGTAGGCACCAACAACAACCATTCACTGAAATATAAACATGAAGACAATATATACCTAAACAAACATAGATACATGCATACATGAACATAAGCACACACATACACATACATACATACATAAACAAATTTATACAGCATATACAAAACTTGAATACACGAAAATTTAACATGTAATTTTACACATAAACGTATGACGATTTCAACATACTAAGTCACTTATAGATAGATTTATACAAAAATATTTCAATGGAAAAACGCTTCACAAAAATAGGTATTTTTTTCTAATTAAAAGCTAATTAAATACAATTTTTAAACGAGACGGGGTACTTAATATTTTAAAAAAATTTCAATTTGTATGCGTTTTTGTTAGTTTTTTTTGTATGTATGTATGATGTATGTATGATGTATGTATGTATGTATGTATGTATATATGTATGTGCGAGCCTTTGTATGTATGTACCGTACATGTGTGTGTGTGTGTGTGTGTGTGCATGTGTGTATGTGTGTGTGTGTGTGTGTGTGTGGGTTTTCTTCTGCCTATTTTGCTGTTAGAATATTAGAATACGCAGACCAAGTATTTTTTGTTTACTATTCAAAGTGGACATCGAGACATATTGCCTGGCTGGGTCTACGTTATTTTTTTTACTTTACTATTACTGCTACTACTACTGCGGCTACTGCTTCTGCTACAACCGCTGCTGCAGTTACTACTAATACTTCAATAATTACTACTACTAATATTAATAATGAAAGTACTTGTGTTTTCAAAGGTTATAATTAATATTATTATTTAGAGTCAAAATCCTGCCTAATAATTCAAAAACACATTTGTAATATCATAATTGTTAGTGTGTCTAGTTCTGTTAACGTCACCAGGATCAATTCCGTTAATTTACCTAATGTTATCTGTCAATATTAAACAACCAATCCCACCAGGATACGGCAATGTCACTCCAGTAACGATGTACGGACGGATTGCTACGATGATTTATGGCTGCTTCGGGATTCCACTCTGCTTAATATTCCTATCTAAAACTGGAAAGAATTTAACCAAGATAATAAAATATTTTTGGAGTTTCATTCGAAGGTTCTACTACACGGGCAGCTGTAAAAAAGTCCGCAGGATGAATCCGCTGAATAAAGTTAAAACTGAATTCGTCTTTAAAAAGTTGAATGAGTATTTGAAAAACAACGGGACAAAGAGGAAAAGTCAGACGTGGGTTGTGAAGCCTTCGTCGGACAACAACCAACAGATGCCACTGACCTTTGATGTCGACCTAGAGAAACAGCAATCTCAACAAAAACTTCAACTCATTTCCATTCAACGTCAGAAGTCGAACGACAACAACCAACAACAACAACAGCAACAACAACTTCTCTCAGATCATCAGCAACTACAACAGCAGCAGCAACAGAAAAAAGGAATCAGCTGTTTTGGAAATAGAGATGGAAAAGATGTCAATGACGAGATTGACGACGAGATTGTTCTACCGTACGCCGTCGACGACAACTTCAACCTGCCACCAATTGTGGCTCTGGCGATTGCTTTTGTTTACATATTCTTCGGAGCGTTCATCTACACTCGATGGGAAAATTGGGATTATTTGGAGTCCTTCTACTTCACCTTCATATCGCTCTCCACCATTGGATTTGGGGATGTCACTCCAGATCATCCAAAGTTTTTCCTGGCATCGTTCGTTTACATATTGATGGGGCTGTCTCTTATTGCTATGGTCGGTTTGCCGATTGGTTGGCTGATTGGTTGGCACTGATCGATTGGTTAAGGCTAATTAGTTGGATGGATATTTTGCCGATTGGTTGGTTGATTGGTTGTTGTTATTTGTTTCTTTTAAAATTTGAGAAAATTTTACAAACAGGTTATAAACGTAATAATGGAAGCCGTGAACGCCACGATTACGAAAGCCAGCGTCAGCGTTTTCAACTTCAGAAAGAAAATGAGAGAGACGATACACGAACACCCGGCCGAGTTCAAGCCTGAGAGGAGAATGTCTGTCTAGAATAATTAATCAATCAACATTTAATTAATTAATTAAATATCATTAATTTATTAATTATTAATACTAAGTTAATAAAATTGAAATAAAATACTTTGAATAACACCTAGCTAAAAAAATATAAACTAATCTTAATCGCTAGGGAAAATTTTTCTTTACTTCAAGTCTGCCCAGCTTACGCATTCAAGTCATTTGTGATTTTATCGAAGGTTTTATTATAAAAATGTGTTTTTTGAGTTTTGTTAATATTCAAATGAAAGATTATTTTGTGAAAATTCATTTATATTTTAACTCAATTTTATTTTTTTTATATCAAATATTCATTTATTTTTGTCAAAAATCGCGTTTCTTAATCACCGAAATGTGGATTTTTAATCGTTGGAGTTCACATTTATATTTAATCATGATGGAAAGATAAATTTAGAAATTGAATTATACTTTATTTTTAACTTTTAATAATTTATTTTAATGATTAATTTCATTTAATTAAATATGTAAATACTTTCATTTCTCGTTTGATCATATCTTTGCATTCTCTATCTATATAATATTCCCTCTATAATATTCTATATAAGTTTCCCAGCTAACACGCGCATGTGACTTTATGCAATCAGGATTTAGACATTTAATTAATCAGTTAAATAATTAATTGGCTAATTAATTAATTAATTAATTACTAAATAATTAAATATAATATATAATAATTCAATTTTATAATTGTACCTATGTATACTGCCCGTTTAAATTTGATCTTTATAACATCTTTATAGGAATGTATTGAGAATATTCTTCTAACTCAATGAATTTTAATGCTCCAATGGTTAATTAGAAACATTTAATTAAATAACTAATGAATTAATTACTTGCTTATTTATTTACTTAATTAATCGATCAATCAATTAATGAATCAGTCAATTAATTATGAATTAGTTCAGGGGTGGGCAAACTACGGCTCGCATGCGGCCCGCGAAACTATTTTATGCGGCCTTGTTTGCCAGAAAAAGGTCGTCAACCAGACACCAGACATTATGACCATAAAAAGGAACCACAAATCTTAAAAAATTCTCCACCGGGTCGAAAAAATTTGCTTTTTAAGTAATGCGACCCTTCAGAGATAAAATAGCTCTCAATGCGGCCCTCACAGTAAAAAGTTTTCCCGCCCCTGAGTTAGTTATTTCATTCGAGTATTATTTTAATTTTGCTCTTCAAAAAGCTTCAGTGATGATATTGTGCCATTTTAAATTTTCGCCCATGCTTTAGTGAAATGATCTATAAAGAGTGGCCAGCCCAAGGGTTATTAACCAAGTTATTCGAAGTAATGAAATTTGAAATAGTAAATAGTTTACATGATAAAGAATGGAAAACTTGAGTCACTGTACTTATATTGGCTATGTGTGTATGTTTGTTTAATTGTTTGTATGTATGTATGTATGTTTGTTTGTATGTATGTATGTTGCATGTATGTATGTTGCATGTATGTATGTACGTATGTTTGTTTGTTTATTTGTTTGTTTATATGTATATATATTTTTATTCATCAATTTCTCAACTTAGTGCATTTTATATTAGCGACTGTATTTTATCTCATTGTTCAATTCGAATGTTCGATCTATCGCGAAATTGAATTTAAGAAGTTTTTGTTGAGAAAATTGTTGTTACTCTAAATTTGTCGTAATTAAAATTTCGCTATTTATACTTTTTTCGGAATAAATCTTTTTTTAAAGATATTATTGATGCAAAATTTATTTTGCTTGAAGATTTAAAAAAATTTATCAAAATATAATCAAAGATGACGTTTTTACTGTACGCATATTAATCATCCAATACTATCTCTATTTCATCGGTTGGATTCTTAATATAAACCGTGGATAAAATCGCTTGAAAATGATTTTATAATTTAAAAAAATTATAATTCAAGTTAATTAATAACAAGTTAGTGCCACAAAGACTACTATCTACACCACATACATTTGCATTTGGGTGATTAACTAACACGCATAATCTCCCAAAAATCAAGTTGATTCGTTACATGTACGTACAGTTCGGTCTCAAGTCAAACAGACGTTTCAAACTACAGACTGCTGTGTTGTTAATGATGTTGAATGATGTTAATTAAGAGATCGATCAGATATATATATATCAAGGTAAAGATTAGTAACAGATAGAATATTTGCATACACACACAGATACTACACACATCACACAAACACACACACACACAATAATAATCATTTTTGTATATTGCACGCGTGTTTTGCCGACATATCTGGTATATATTTTGATAGGTTTGCTCTGTGACATAGATTATATTTACATTATTGTGTGTGTGTGTATTATGTGTAGTGTATATATATATATATATATATATAATATAAATAAATATGTGTATATATATATGTATATATATAATATATATATAGATAATTGCCTTAATGTTAAAAAGATTAATGTACTGATGTATGAAAATGTTTTAGTTGAAATGGAAAGTTTAACGGGGAATTTTTTTGTGATGCAATTGGAATTTTCCAGGTCAGTTTTTTTACTTTATTATTATTGTTGTTCTTTATTATTTTTATTATTAATAATGCTACACACACAAACACACATACACACACACACACACACCCATACACACATACATCGCTGTGCTTTTATTCTGTTTTATCTCATAAAAAGTAGATTACGATTTATACGTTATAATTAGCCGGAGTTAAAATGGAAATGCTATTTTTAGATCTACCATCATCATCATTTTTCCATCACGTGGTACAAGCAAACTCTAAGTCTGATTTTATCGTAACACGAGATTGTTAATCATTGCAAAGAAGTTTTTGATATGTGGGTTTTTTATGTATTGATTAAATATATTAAACAATTATGATTTTATATTTTCAGATTAAATAAAGATTTACTGACGATCAAAAGAAAAAACAGCAAACAAATCAAAACAATCATCCAAAGACTCTGAAGATATCTCACAGCAACATTCCAAAACAATCAACCAATAAAGAGTGCATATCTAAAATGTCAGCGAAACTAAAAAACCAGAGCAGTTTTCTCTGCATTGAGCCAGAAATGGAAAAAGAATTATTAGTAAAATTCAAAAACAACATCGTCTCGTCTGCCGTTAATTCGAAAAATTCCCAAAATAATTGCAAGAGTGGGCCGCGAAAAGCTTGCCGTTGCAGATGTTTTCCTAAGAACGATCATGATCAACAAAACAGTTGCGAAAAGACACGCTGCCCTTGTTTGGAGCAGCCTTGTTGCAAAGAATTCCACGGCTTCTTTTCAAGCTTGTACGAAATTATCCAATCTAATATGGGTCTTTTGTTGTTTCTAATTATGTACGCTTGTCTGGGCGCTCTCTTATTTTCCTACCTGGAATCAGCTGAAGATGCGAGGAAAAGGAATGATCTTTCACTGGCCAGACGATGGTTCCTAACCAACGTAGAAAATATTTATCGCGGTAAAACCGTCATTTTTGTTTTAAACGAAATGTCGTTATCTACAATCGGAAACCACGAATTTACACTTTTCGATAAATCCGGTATTAAGATGGAGACAAATTTGGAGCATGCGTTATCGGATTATAACGATACTCGAATTCGGTTATCGAGTGGGAATAACGAGACGACATGGTTGTTTAGACAGACAGATAGATTGAAGATTGCGTCCAACCTGTTGAAGCAGTACGAAGATTACATGAAGAAGTTACCGGTGCAGATTACGAAAGAAAGTAAAAGTCGTCTAATGAAAAAATGGTCATTTTTTGAGTCTTTGTTCTTTTGTGGTACAGTCTTTACAACAATTGGTCGGGTTTATGTAAATGTTTGTATGTTGTTATTTGTATGTTGTTGTTTGCACGCACGTTGTTGTATGTATTGTGTTGTTTAGATGTTGTTGTTAGTTGTTGGTGTTGTGTTTTTCATAGAACGTCTAGTTCATCAAAAACGCTGAGATAACTCGATGGTTTGAGTGTTGTCGACGTTGTTTTGCTGCGAGTCTTGCTCATTTTGGTAAATTTGTTTTATGTTAATTTTTTGGAATTCTGTTATTACAAATTCTGTCCGTAATTTATTTCATTTATATTTTGTATATGTTTTTTCACAAACAACTGTGTGTGCGTGTATGTACGTGTGTGTCTTTGCTTGTGTGTTTCTCTCTTTATCTATATTTGTTTGTGCTTGTAATCTCTGTACATTTCAACGTTACCAAACGCTAATTGCTGGCTTTAAAAGAAATCAGTTGGATGTGTGTGTATGTGTATGTGTGTGTGTGTGTGTGTGTGTGTGTGTGTGTGTGTGTGTGTGTGTGTGTGGTATATATATATGTATATATATGTATGTGTGTGTGATCGATTTTTATATTATTGTTTTGAAAGATAATAGAAGCCACGTTAAATGTAATGCACACTTGGGAAAAATGTGTAATATGTACATGTAACGGTTACGTCCAACTGTAGCAAACTCATTATAAATATAAGGACACGTAGAATATATTTTGGCGTAATTTATGTCCTTTTGTAATATGCTATAATATTAGTGATTGTTTATATTGCTTTTGCCGTTATTAGCATTAGATTAAAGTAAATTTGGTAGTTGTTACTTTTGTCGATACCTGCAATACTATGCAAATATAAATAATAATAATAATTCAAAATATATCCCTATATATCCCAATCCAACCAGGATACGGCAATGTCACTCCAGTAACGAAGTACGGACGGATTGCTACGATGATTTATGGCTGCTTTGGGATTCCTCTCTGCTTAATATTCCTATCTAAAACTGGAAAGAATTTAACAAGGATTATAAAATTTTTCTGGAGTTTCATTCGAAGGTTCTACTACACGGGCAGTTGTAAGAAAGTTCGCAGGATGGTTCCTCTGGGTAAAGTGACGACGGGTTTTGTCTTTAAAGAACTGACTGATTATTTGAAGTGTTGTGGTAAAAGAGAAGAAAAGAATAAGACCTTGGTGCCCAAATTTTCAACATCAACGACAACAACTAACAACAACCTACAACGAATGGCGCTTAGTTTTGACGTTGACATAGAAAAACAGAACTCTAAAACAAAGCGTTGGCTTTTTTCCCTCCAGCGACGAAACACGACAAACGACGACTACCGATCGCGACAACAACGGCTACAACAGCGACAGCAACTAATCGCCGATCGACAGCAGCAACTGCAAGAAGAGGAAAATGGAAAGAACTGTTTTGAGAGCAAAGATGAAAAAAACATCGACGACGAGATTGTTCTACCGTACGCCGTCGACGACAACTTCAACCTGCCACCAATTGTGGCTCTGGCGATTGCTTTTGTTTACATATTCTTCGGAGCGTTCATCTACACTCGATGGGAAAATTGGGATTATTTTGAGTCCTTCTACTTCACCTTCATATCCCTATCCACCATCGGCTTTGGGGATGTTATACCGGATCATCCACTTTTCTTTCTGTCATCGTTCGTCTATGTAGGCATTGGTCTATCTCTTATTGCAATGGTTGGTAGGCTGGTTGATTGGCTGATTGAATGGTTGGTTGGTTAATTGGCTGATTGAAAAAATTAATTAGACATCTTTTTGAATCATTCAAACCAGAAATTTTACAACAGGTTATAAACGTAATAATGGAAGCCGTGGACGCCACAATCACAAAAGCTAGCGACAGCGTCTTCAACTTCCAAAAGAAATTGAGGGAATCCATTTGTGAAAAACGTACGCAGTTCAAAACCCAAAGAAGAATGTCTGTCTAAAATAATTACATGAGTAATGATAACAATTATTATTATTGTAATTAATAATTGATAAATAACTTGATCATCCAGTCTAAGATAAAAAATTATTATTTCATATATATATAGTGGATAATTTTGATAAAATTCATAAATTAAATAAACACGCTAGGCGAACGTTTTTAAACTCCGTGTTACATGGTTATTAATTGACAAATTCATGCTTGCTTCTCTGATTTTTCTTGAATTTCTTTGATAAAACTGTATACATTTCCCTTGCGATTGTGGATTTATTTGAAGTATTATCAGGAGTTTATCTCGTTTTAATCAAAATTTTTGTTCTTTATCAACTGAAAAAATATTTTTTAGAGTAAATTTTTTTTTAGCGGAGTAACAATGGATTTAGTTGACGTTTGATGAGATTTTTAACATTTTTTTTTCAATCTGAGACCTGGCGGGAAGGTCCGAACTTCTCATGCTTTAGGTATATCTCATCAAATAATATCTTCTGTAATGTGAGAATAATTATGTTAGTATTTTTGCAACATAATCTTTGCTTCATTCTCTTTAAAGTTTCTATAAAATAATTCCTATATAATAATTGTACAGGAATAACTTTGGAAAATACTTAAGGATGAAAAAATGAATGAGTTTCTATGAAGTGGGCATCTCTTTAACGATTCCACTAGTTAATTATTCATTTTTTTGCATATTTGTGTTCTACTTTGAGTTTATTTAATAAATTTTGATTGTTAACCTTGTGCATTTCTATTTTTATTCAAGTGTTACTTAATATTTTCATTGAATTTTCATAAACATTATCGTTATTTTTGTGTTTTTGGTGATTTTTATCTTGTCAAAGGCCTCTACTCAAATATTTTAACACGTGCATTGTACCATTTTTATATTTTCAAAATGTTTTTGAAATCATCATTTTATTATCTGTTTACTACCGTGGCTAAAAACAATACAGCCAATGAGTTACTATGTGGCCAGTTAATTATAACAAAAATAATATATAATAATAATATTATTATAATGAAAATAATAAAATATAATAATATCATAATAATATGGCCAGTTAATGGCCAAAAATGTTGTTTAAGGTCAATGTTAGATTTCTAAAGAAAAATTTCCTTCTAAATGATAACAACATTGAAGTTCAACCACGTTTCAAACGCTGACTGCACCATTCATTTATATTAACATTACAATAACATTAATAAATTGTAATTTAATATAATATAAATTAATATTCCAGCCTGTGTTTGTATAAACGTGTATGTGTTTGTATGCCTATGTATGCGTGTTTAGCGTATGTGATTGTTTGCGTTTAAACTAGTTGTTTATGCGAGTTAATTTTTGTATGTCTGTTACATGTGTTTCTATGGGCGTGTGTTCTTCTAAGCGTTTTTAAAAGCATGACTAAGTCGTTTCGACAAATGCTTTACAACGCAATCTGCCATTCATCTCAAATAAGCACTAGATAAATAGAAATGTTTCTATATATATTGATACACACATACATACATACATACATGCATACATACGTACATACATACATGCATACATACATACATACATACATACATACATACATACATACATACATACATACATACATACATACATACATACATACATACATACATACATACATACATACATTCATACATACATACATACATACACACATACATACATACATACATACATACATACATACATACATACATACATAAATACATACATACACGGTGTCACTCATCATGTTTTGGTTTTAACATACATACATACATAAATACATACATACATACACATAGGTACATACATACACACATACATACATACATACACACATATATACATACCTACGTATGTACAAACATACACAAGCATGGGATTGGTATTCATCATTTTTAACATGATCGATCGAAATTTAGTTAGTGTGTATATTACTTTAGTGTGGTTCACATTACATTGTGTGAGTCATATTTTTAACAAACCCACACCCCCTCTCTCCCTCTTCTTTCTCTTTCTTTCTCTGACTTACTCTCTCTTTCTCCCTCTCTCTCTCCTGTTTTTATCATATTTTCTTCTCTATAATTTTTCTTACTTTTTCATTTATGACTATATGTAACACTTTTTTTTATCTGAAGGTATAAACACGATTACACCACCTTGCACAGACACACACACACACACGAACTCTGTGTGGGTTTTAAAAATCGTTTTCACAAAAATATTGATAATTGGTATGACTAATTGATAAGGAAGTGGGCATATGGATACGTGTATGTATATATCTATAAAGAGGAAGAGAGAATGAGAGAGATAAAAAAAACAGAGAGAAAGAGAGAAAAGAAAGAAAGAGAGAGAGAGAGGAAGAGAAAAATTACTTTTTTCAAAAATTTGTGATCAATAACCACCGATGTTATGTTCGATCATTGAAATGTAAATATTTGGCGCCAGTGATAAAGATGGTGATGAAGATGATGATGATATAAGGACGACGACGACGATAAAGATGATGATGGCTCGATGAAGATGATGATGACATGACGACGGCTATGATGATAAAGATGATGTAGATAACGACGACGATGATGAAGATGACGACGATGATGATGAAGATGACGACGATGATGATGATGAAGACGATGATGATGACGATGATGAAGACGATGATGATGATGATGACGATGATGATGACGATGATGATGATGATGACGATGACGATGATGATTACTGGACAATTGTTACTTTTCAACAAAATTTAAAAACACACTCGAAGGCAAAATTAAATCTGGCTTCTATTATTTTCATAATTAACTTTTTTATAAATATTATTACGGTGCAAAAATTTTGTAAAAATTTATTATATATATATATATATATATATATATATATATGCGCGTGTGAGAATAATAAATAAATAATTAAACACACACACACACACGTACACGTACACACACACACACACAATCAAATAAACACACACATACACACACATATGAAACATGATTCAGTAAAACCAATTAATGAAAAAAATGCCGCAATAAATTATTTTTAATCAATATAATTTATAATCGCTATTATTGCTAATTAACAATCATTATCATCATCAATAATAATAATAATAATAATAATAATGATGATGATAATAATAATAATAATAATAATAAATCGTCATCATCGTAACCAAGAAACAATCATTATCATCGTTATATCTATTATACCACCATCACCGTAGTCACAATGACTACAAATCATTATCACTATCATCATTTTTTACATTGTTATTATTATTATTATTATCACGTAATTATGTTTATACCATCATCATCATCAATCATCATCATCATTGACAACAACTACAACCTTATCCCAATCGATAACGTTTATATTATCTTATAATAATAATGATAATAATCATCGTCATCATCATCATCAACGTCATCATCATCGTCGTCGTCGTCATCATCATGAAACCAAAAATCTTATCAATGTTATATTTACAATTCTTAAATCTGAGGAATAGAGTGAAAACAGGAATAAGAAAGAGAGATAGAGAAAAAAATGAGAGAGAGAAAGAAAGAGTCAGATATAGATAGATTGGTAGCGAGAGAGAGAGAGAGAGAGAGAAAGAGAGAAAAAGAAAATAAGAGAGAGAGGAGAGAAAAATTTCTTGCGTTGAAAATGACAATTAAACAACAAAAACTTGTTGTAATCAATGGTCAACTTTCTTATCATTGTTAATAGTATCATCACTATTGTTATTATTATTATTATCTTTCTTTACTATTATTATTGTTGTTATTATGATTATTATTATTATTAACAATTAGCTTGAAAAGGCACTGTATATAGAATGTAACCAAATCATACCAATTGAAATATACAAACATACAAACAAATGTACGTACATACATACATACATACACACTTGCATACAGAGAGACAGACAGTCAGACAGACAGACGGACAGATAGACAAACACACAGACATATTTATATACACATTGTTTTTCTAGATGTGAGAAGCGTTGAAAAGTGAAGCTTTGCAATAGTTTCAAATTCTAATGGGAACATCTTTTATTTTTCACCATAAAAAATAATAATTATTATAACAATAATAATAATAATAAATAATAACAATAAAATAACGTTAATAATAATTTAATAACAATTATTACAAAAAAAAATAACAAAAATGATTTTTCAGTGGTAAGATGATGAAGAAGATGATGATGATGATGATAACAGTAGAGATGTTATTCTCGATGATGATGGTGACAACGATGGTGATGACGACGACGACGATGATGATGATCTCCACCATTCATTTCATCTGTTTCAAAATTTAAAAATAGATAATAAATTAATATTGGAAAAATTAAAGTTTGCCATAATTGTTATGTATTTATTTATTATTTATTTGAAATAAGGAACAATTATATTATTATTAATATTATTGTTTATGCGGAAATATTGCATTTGTATCACGATCATTTTTAAATTATTGTCCCGATATAAATATAACTTTAAATACACACACACACACACACACCACACACACACACACACACACACACATACACACAAATAGATAAACAAAAGTATGCAGGAATAGTTCTATTTGTCATTTAGAATTAATTTTGAGTGATTGAGAAAATGAAAAAATAAGGGAGGGAGAGAGAGAGAGAGGTAAACGAAGAAGAAAGAGAGAGAGAGAAAGAGAGAGAAAGAGAGAGAGATAAGTATTGCCTTATCGAGTTTATACAATAAATCGATTAATAAATAGAACGAAGGAAAAAAATTAATGTATGATATATCAGAGAATAAATGCAATATCAAGTAGTATCTGTGTGTGCGTGTGTGTGTTCGTGTATGTGTGTGTAAGTGTGTGTTTTTGTGAGTGTGTGTATGTAGGTGTTTTCTTTGAGTATGTGTGTGTGTAAGTGTTTGTTTTTGTGAGTGTGTGTATGTAGTTGTAAAAAGTGTGTGTGTGTGTGTGTGTGTGTGTGTGTGTGTGTGTAAGTAAGTGTGTTTGTATGTGTGTATGTGAGAACACACACGCACATGATCAATATCAGTAATTAAATTTAGGAAACAAGGTCTCGATTTTATTTCCTACTAACATCTTTCTTTGACATGTACCTCGTCCTTCCTTTGCCAGCTTGAGACCAGGAACTCGTTTGATGGTGAAATGAATAATAATAATAATAACAATAATAGTAATGATGATGATGATGATGATACGACACTGGTGGTCTTAACGACGATGATGATGACGTCAGAGTAGTAATGGCAGAGATGACAATGATGATGATGTTGATGATGTTGCTATGCTACCGCCATCATCCTTATCATCTTTATTATTATTATTATTATTTGTGCTGGTGTGTTGTTGTTTATGCTGACTTAGATTGAAATGGTTGACTTTTTTTCTTGCATAAAAAAATAACAATAAAAAATCAAACGAGTGAGTGAGTAAAAGAAGAAATCACTCTGAAAGAAAGAAGGTAGAAAAATTATGATAGATAAACAACGAAATAAATAAACAATCTATAAATTAATCTATGCAAAATTGTTATTCATTTATTCAAATATTCACTCATTAATATGCGCATAATAATGAGCAAGCACACAGCCATCCATCCAATCAACATTCGATCGATCAAACCTCCGTATGATTGTCATTTTTTAATTTACATAATTTTAACATAGGGCTCAAGTTGTGGCTACTACCACCACTACTACTACTGCTATCGTTACTAATATTATTATCGTTAGTAGCTGCAGTAGTAGTAGTAGTAATTCGATGATCGTCATCAGGAATACTGTCCCTCGGACCGGAAGTAACGTCATTAGAAGCAGGGCTGTGCGATGTTAGGACGTCTCAATTGTTTTGCTTATATTTTGTTGGGACTCTGTTGTTGTTGTTGTTGATTATGTTAGTTCTGTTAATGTTGTTTCGGAGACTGTTGTTGCTGGTAATACAGTTGTTGATGTTATTATTATTATTATTATTGTTGTTGTTGTTGCGAAATAAACTGCTATTACTTTTGTTAATGATTTTGGAATGTCGATGTGATCTTTCTGTCAGATTGTTGCGATCCAGGTTGATGTTTTTGTGCAAGTGGGCATATTTGTCCTGCATGGGATTGTGTTTGTCGTTGTGAATCATCATCATGTTGGGCCCTGTGATTCCCGCTAGCTCTATTCTTCCCCTTCCCCCTCCCCCATCACCATCATCATCATCAGTTCCACCATCTTCGCCATGTCGGTGATGGTGGGGATGGTGTGGATGGTTAGGTCGGGAAGATTGGAAAGCATCGCGTGTTGTTTTTTTCAAGAAAGTGTTTTCTTCGTTCGGTAGATGGCTGAATGTGAGATCGTACGTGACGTCATCATCGTTGTTTGTTTGGTTGTTGTAATCAGTGAGGAATTTTTGTGTTTTACTGCTGTTGTTGTTTTTGTTGTTGTTGTTGTTGTTGTTGTTGTTGAACTTCGAGTTGTTGTTTAAATAACTTCTGTTGCATTTGTTGTCATCTTCTTCCTTTGTTATGAAAGACAACCGCTGTTGGTGGTGAAGAAGATGATGACTGTTGTTCTTTTCCATTTCAGATTGCTTCGATAGATGAATTTTTCGCTTCTTATACTTTTTGCACAATATGAGAGTTACGATGATGAGGATAATTAAGATTGGAATGATTCCACCGAGTACCGCCCCAACTATAACCAGAGAACCACCACCATCTCCATTGTCATCACCCTTTTCCATACCCACCATCTGCTTCTTACTCCAGCCATTCTCGTTATTGTCGCTATTCTTGCCGACACCAATGCCGTCTTCAAACTCGCACCGTTCTCCGTGAAAACCGGACAAACATCTGCACAGAACGGAATCCGTGGCACTGATGCACATCCCACCGTTCAGACAGGGACTTCCGGCGCACAGATCCTTTCTCACCTCGCAGTTGTCTCCGCTGAATCCTGGCATGCAGAGGCACTTGTACGTGTTGAAGAGATCGACGCAGCTGGCTCCGTTCGAGCAGGGAAGTTCGGCGCACCTGCTCACGTGGTCCTGGCAAAGTGGTCCGTGGTAGCCGTGACGACAGCGGCATTCGAAGTTGTCTGCTGCAAGCTGCAGACATTCGGCACCGTTGAGGCATGGATTGGGAGTACAACGTTTACTCTGTGTCTCGCATGTCGGTCCTTCGTAGCCTGGTTTGCAGATGCACTGGAAGCTGTGGAGAGCGTCAATGCATCGCCCACCTGCAATGTTTGAGGAGAAGGGTGTTTCCGTGTGCGATCGTTTGTTTGTTTGGTGAGCTGGGGATTAGATTGGATGTTCACGAAAGTTTTTACGGTGAATTTGAAAAAATTTAAACAAATGACTCGCGTTCTATTATAAATTCCACAAACTCTTAACTTTTAGAACATCAGAACATGTTTCAAATGATTGCAATAAATTTTTTCATTGATAAATTGATATAATCAAACAAATGCATTTCTTAAATAGTTCATTTCATATAACCATCAAAGAAATAATTAATATTCTGCAATTAATACACATGGAAATTTAAAAATTTTTAATTGGCCACAAACCGTTGAAGCATGGATGGCTGGCACACTCGTCAACTTCATCTTGGCAGTTGTAACCATCGTAACCTTCTTGGCATGTGCATCTGTATTGTCGTCTGCCTAAGTGATTGATCAATCAATCAACCAATTAAACGCCAGCAAACAAGCATACGCATGTTTGCAAACACACACACACACATATACAATCATAAAAACACACCCACCTACCTGAAGAAGAAGTAGGGGGAATAGCCATGGCATTGCAGGTACCTCCATTGAGACAGGGAGAGTCGTGACAAGTGGCCCCTGTAGTTATTTCGCATTTTCCGCCCTCGTAACCCGGGTCACAGTGGCAGATGTAATTTAGAGATGGTGATGAAGAGGAAGAGGAGTGAGAGAAGGTAGATAACTGTAGATTAAATTGAAAATGTGTGTTGTTGTTGCTATTGTTGTTGCTGTTGTTGAATGTTGATGTTGCATTGTGCGTGAATGTGAATGTGAATATGTAAAAGTGAGGGCGTGTGTGTACGTGTGTGTGTATATATATATGTGTGTGTGTGCGTGTGCGTTCGTGTGTGTGCGCGTGTTCTACAGTGCAACACGTTTCAACTTTTGAAACATCTGCTTGGCAGAAATTAAAATGATCGTGCATATTATAAATTAATGAAAACAACAACAACAACGAAAACTATACAAGAAACAAACGGACGAACGAACGAATAAACAATCGAACAAACTTACAAACAAACAAATGAACAACCAATCAAACATACAAACAAACAAACAAACGAGCAAACAACCACTCAAACAAACACACAAACGGAAAAACAAACGAGCAAACAACCAATCAAACAAACATACAAACGAACAAACAAACAAAACAAAACAATCCAACTAACCAAACATCTTCCGCGACCTGAGCAAGGGTTGGCCCTAACGTTGCAATCATCAATGGGCCTCTCACAATTGGTGCCCGAAAAGTTGTTGGGGCACACGCAGTGATAGTACCCCACCCCTCTATGCATACACGTGCCTCCGTTGAGACACGGCTTCTTGGCGCATAAATTCAAATCTGGTAAATTTATTATTTATGAATAATTATCATTAATTATTATTACTAATTCTAATTAACGGTAGCTGTTGGTTGTTTAGTAGCTAGATTAGTTATTATTACTGCTTATGAGGTTGCTAGAAGTGATTATGATGATGATGACGACGACGACGATGATGAAGATGACGTAGATAATGACGTAGATGCTGATGATGATGAAGATCATCATCCTCACCATGATGATGATGATGAGGCGAATGATGAAAGACAAGTAACCCGCAACATCAAATCTATTTATTGATAAGTCATTAATCTGATTCATTAATGTAAATATAAGAAAAACAAACAAACACGTGTTTGTTTCTAGTTCATTCAATCATTTATTCATTCATTTACTCATTCATTCATTCACTCACACACACTCTCTTTCACTCACACACTCAATCATTCGTTTATTCATTTATTTATGAAAAAATATACTTTGTCATTATTATAAAGCATTGTTGGACACTACAATGAAAACATTGGATTTGTTTACAGAAAAAATTTTATAAGTAGCAATCAATGAACTTCTCATTTCACTCTTTCATTCATTTTTTTTCATTTTTTTTTTCATTCAATCACTCTTCATTTATTTGTTTGTTCGTTCGATCATTCGTTTGTTCAATCGTTCGTTCATTCCTTCTTCATTCGTTCATTCTCGTTCACTCATTCATTCACATTCCTCAGTCATTTGCTCATAAAATTTTTTTGCTTTTATTAATTACTTATTACCATTCAAATACAGTCATTAATTTATAAGTGACCATACTTAATATTCATAAATATTCTTATTTGATATTAATAAATATTTCTACTTAATATTCATAACTAGACCTATTTAAACATTATAAGTAGTCCAAATCAATATTAATTAGTAGCCATATATCTTAAATTAAGATTAAGCGGAAGTATAACCGAGCGAAAGGTGTCTATGTTTTATATCGCGAAAACGAACGTGTAAACATCTATGCTAACATATGTTGTTGTTGTCTTTGTTGTTATTATTATTTGTTTGTTATTATTGTTATTATTGCGATTGATGTTGTTGATGTTTTTTGTGGTTTTCATGTTACATTGCGGGCTTTGCGTCTGCCAGAATCCGATTTTTAAAAAAGAAGACAACGTTGACGCGACGGTTGTTGTGTTGTTGCTCGCTGCTCAAATGTGTTGCTGAAGTTTTTTAATGGCAAATATTATTATATGTTGTTGTTGTGGTTGTTGTTGTTGTAGTTGTTATTGTTGTTGTTTAGAATGTCTTATTTTTCTTTTTTTTTATTATTTTTTTTGTTATATTATTATTTATGTTGTTTTATGGGATTTATGAATTGTTGGTACAGTTGAAGTTGAGCGAGCGTAGCAGATGTCGCAATCATGATGCTGTGGCTATTATAATTATTATTATAATTATTATATTATTACTATTATTATTGTTGTTGTTGTTGTTTTTGTTGTTGTTGTTATTTTGTTGAGATTTTAATAAGCAATGTACTACAGCGATTATTATAGTTATGAGACACATCTGTGAAAACAAGTTACACACACACACACACACACACCACACACAACATCTACACACGTACATTCTTACACACACACGCGCATACATACATATACACATAGATACAAACATACTACAAAATATCGATTGAAATGATAACAACATCGATTATATAGTACGTTTAATTAGTTGTTGTTCTAACACTCATAGTAATAGTTGCTACTACTACTGCTACTACTACTACTACTACTACTAAAGTTATTCTGTAGTAGTAGTAGTAGTAGTAGCAGCAGTAGTTGTAGTAGCAGTAATAGTAGTAGCGTTGCTAGTAATTTGACGGTATTAATTGTTGTTACAGATAGTACTAATTATTATTATAACAGTTTTATTAAAACACCACAAAACCCCCCAAATGCCCCATCTCCGACCAACCTTGGTTACAGAGTGGACCGCCCCAACCCTGCTTGCACACGCATTTAGTTTTTGCAGTGCACGTGCCATGGACGCAGGCCGGATCGGGAATGCACTCGTCGCAGTGCGCTCCCATCCAACCGGAACTACACTGGCACGTGTTTGGCTCGGTGCATTTTCCGTGAATGCATCTGTCGCAAGAAGCTGCTCGGTTGGTTGGATGGTTGGTTTGTTTGTTGGATGGTTGGTTTGTTGGTTGGTTGGTAAGCTGATTGGTTGGCCGTGTAGTTGGTTGTGTGGTTGACAAACGTTAAGAAAAAAAATGAAAAAAATATTTGAAAATATTTTTCCAACTCAACACACCATTGAGACACCACTCTCCCGTCCATCCTTGCAGACAGGATTTCGTCCCATTCCTGAGACACCGGTAATGTCCCAAGCTGTCGTCGCGAGCCACGCATGAATTCGAACAGAAGGGCCCGTAAATGTTGTGCAGGCAGACAAGTCGGTATCGATAGTCGAGTTTTGTGGAACCGTTATGAAAAGATTCGGTTATCCATCCCTGCTCTGACGTCACATTTTTTAAAAGTATCAGTTTGAGCAGAAGTCCTTTTGTATCAGGATCTGTAGGGATAATTTATCAATCAATCAATCAATCCCTCTGTCAATCAACTAATCAATCCATCAATCAATCAAATTGATTTATTTTTAATCTTTGATTTGACTCAATCAAGCAATCAATCAAAAAATTTGATAATTAATTGCCCAATTAAAACTGACGAATGAGAACGAAGATAGGAGCGTCAAACACCTGACGACAAATTCTGCATTTGCACGCTCAGCGGGAAATACATTCAGTCAGTACGACGTCATTGTCATTAAAAATAATAATAAAAATAATAATTAATAATAATAAAAAGAAGAAGAACAATAATCAAAAACATGAAGACCTTGTTGGATGTTGTGGTTGTTGTCGTCGTCCATGTGGTAAGCTTCAATGATCAAGGCGAATTTGTGCTGTGGATTTGGTTTCAATTTTGAAGTTATGAAATTTAAATTAAATTTGTCATAATAATAATAATAATTTATATCAATAATAATAACAATATTGTTGTTAATATTGTTGTTGTTATTATTTTTTTTTAATTTCGTTAACAAGAAAATTTTTGTTGTTGTCCAAACAAATTGTAACTGAGGCTTTCAGTCACTTAATTTTGTCTAGTTATGTGTTTGTTTGTGTGTGTGTGTATGTTTGTGTGTGTATGTATGTTTGTTTGTGTGTGTTCATGTATGTTTGTTTGTTTGTGTGTGTGTATGTTGTGTGTGTGTGTGTGTGTAGATGTGTTTGTATGTGCAACAACTATGGACTGATTTATTTTCGCGTGTTCGTAAGTAGTTAAGTTTTGTGTGCTTGCTTGCGAATATTTGTTAATATACTGTTAATAATATACGCTGTGTTTATTGTTTGTGTGTGTGTGTGTGTGTGTTTCTTTGTATGTGTCTGTATTGTTTTTAATTGTTGTTTGCATGTCTATATATATATCTCTATTGTATATCTCTATGTATATATGCATATATATATATATATATATATATATATATATATATATATATATATATATATCTATATATCTATAATATATATATATATTTGTTTGTAAACAAATTATGAATGCAAAACTATATATATATATATATATATATATATATATATATATATATATATATGTGTGTGTGTGTGTGTGTGTATGTGTGCGCTAATGTACGTATTTTTCTATTATAAACTAACCTGGCCACTGACTAAACTCGACTTGCTATCATCATCCTCATCATCATCGTCGTCATCATCATCATCGTCGTCATCATCATCATCGTCGTCATCATCATCATCATCATCGTCACAAGCGTTACTTCCGTAATAGGAATCTTAATCTCATTCTTCATTTAACATAGTCATTTGAATCGTCATCATCACCATCGTCATCATCACCATCGTCATCATCACCATCGTCATCATCACCATCGTCATCATCACCATCGTCATCATCACCATCGTCATCATCACCATCGTCATCATCACCATCATCATCGTCGTCATCCTTATTATTATTATTATTATTATTATTATTATTATTATTATTATTATTATTATTATTATTACTATAGCAAACGTCAAATCACCATTGTCGTCAACATTATGTCATCATCGTCATCATCGTCATCTGTGATATTATTATTATTGTTATTATTATTTATTTATTTGTTTACCATTGTTAGCAGATCAAACAGCAAATTCAGCTGATGCGTGAGAATATTTTGACTGTGTGAATTTGTGTGGGAGGAAGCATACAAACACATATACAAACACACATACAAACACACATACATACAAATACAAACAGTCATACATTGAAATATGCAAATGCACATACAAAACACGAAAACATTCATGCCTTATAACGTAAATATTGGAAGACATAAATGTACCTACCCACAAATATATACCCACACATACATACATACATTTGTCTCCAAAACAAAGGAAAAAAAGACAGGATGACCATAAAAAGTTAACAATACGTACATACATACGTACATACAAACGTACATACAAACATACATACATACATACATACATACATACATACATACATACATGCATACATACATACATACATACATACATACATACATACATACATACATACATACATACATACATATATATATATATATATTGTAATATATATATATATATATACATACAAAAACACGAACAACAAATATACAAACATATGCATACAAGCGCACCTAAAAAAAATCAGACCTATTCAAATGTATACCCTATGTAAGAATACGCAAAGAAATACACAAATCAACATGCAAATATAGAAACAATTATAAGAAAAAAGCTATTAACAGTTATTTAAACATAATTTATATATATATAATATGTCATCAATCATTTAACATATGTATATATA